AAAAAAAAAAAAAAAAAGTTGGCTTTAAAAAAAAAGTTTGTCTTTGGAAAATAAACCAGAAATTTATATAGAAAATTACATATTTAAATATCTAAATTGCATACTAAACACCAGTTTATAGATTCAGAAAACCAGTCTACACTGGAATGATAATCACAATCGATTTGGTTAGTGCAGTATTAACAGTTCATTTTACTTTAAGAAAAAAAAAATCTGAATTTTTCAAAAAGTGAGATTTAATAAAGGCACCTTTTAAAATAATTTGGTATGTTACACTATAGCATTCTATTATATTTCCAAATACATCAGCATTCTGTTCTTTAAAAAGGATTGGGAAACTACCAACCAGCACAGCACCCAAAATAACAACAGATAAGAACTCCTGAGTGTAGTTTTCCACAGCTTAACATGAACAGCACTAATGACGTCAAACAGGCATATTATACACGTAGAAAGAAAACACCAGGTTTAATACCTTATAAAATATGTACAGAACTTGAACATTTCTGAAAGATACAATTCAAGTCACAACTGAATTATAAATATAATCAGATACCGTTACAATGAAAAGATCTAATTGGTTTTAAAAAATGCACGTAAACCATAAAAGATAAAAAGTATTTAAAAAATACATAAAATTCTAACCAGTTTTAAACTTTGATTTTTAAAAAAGTAAATATTTACAATCTTTAAATTTCATCCACTTGTTTTTTTTTACATGCTCTTTATTATTAGGATAACATAAAACAAGAAAAAACTCTTAACCATTTATACAACAGAAAAAAATCAACAGGGAGGCTGGGAGAATGCAGTATACACAGTAGCTAAAATATGAAAGACCAGGGAATTTATTATTAAATAGTCATAAAACAGACTTAACCAAATCTGTGTGCTAGGAAATAAGCCAGTCTCACTTTCCAGAGACTTCACTGCAGAGACCTACGAGACCTACTTTCTTTATCTGAAAAGAAATGATTATAAATAATAGTTATCTGAACAGTTACTGGGAGGATTAAATGAGATCTGTGTGAATGAATGCACATATGTAAATATTAAGATGCTGTCTGGTATGTGAAAGTTCACCACACAGTTCACACCAGGACCTTCCCTTATGGTTTAAAAACTTTAAATGGTATTTCATTCTTAATACAAGAACCCATGTTTAAAGCATAAAATCCTTAACTGGAGTGTTTAGCCCAGTTCATTATGAAAGCCTATTGATAAATGCTTCAACACTGATGATATTAAAGCAACCAAAGTCTATAATGATCAGAAAAGTTTGACTTCCTGGGTTATGATCCAAGTCATCTGCCTTCTGAGAACACTGCAGAGAAATCAGACAGATACTTAATTTCTCAAACTATGTGGCGTCCACCTTCTATGTTTTCCGTCTATCATAGTCTGCAACCATCTTCTTGATGTGTGCCAATTTGCTCTTCAGCTGCTTGCAATAATTCCTCTTACTTTTGTAATCTGAAGACTAAAAAAGGAGAAAAATGAATCACATAAAATCAACAAAACAAAAACAAATATGCTGGGGCAGTAGAGGCAGACAAAAAGGGGGATTATTAGTAATAGAGAGCTGTCGGGACACCTGCCACAGCTCAGGTGTAACCACAGAGGCTTCTGACCCCTTAGTCATATAATCTAACCTGGGATTTCACAAAGGATATCCTCATTTCTAACAATCTGTAAAATGACCAAGATGACTTATATGCCCTTTTCTTAACATACCACCTAAAAAACAAAATCAATAAAATAAGAAACTGGTAATAAGGGTTCACTGGGGAAAAGGAAACTGTGAGCAGGGGATAAGAGAGGGAAAATTTTACCATAAACATTTCTTTTTTTTTTTTTTTTTTGAGGCGGAGCCTCAAGCTGTCCCCCTGGGTAGAGTGCCATGGCATCACAGCTCACAGCAACCTCCAACTCCTGGGCTCAAGCGAGTCTCCTGCCTCCGCCTCCCAAGTAGCTGGGACTACAGGTGCCCGCCACAACGCCTGGCCATTTTTTTGGTTGCAGCCATCATTGTTGTTTGGTGGGCCCAGGCTGGGGATTTGAACCTGCCACCTTAGGTGTATGTGGCTGGCGCCTTAGCCACTTGAGCCACAGGCGCCGAGCCACCATAAACATTTCTAAACTCTTATTTAAAATAACTGGCTAGGCTCAACACCCGTAGCTCAGTGCTTAGGGCACTGGCCACATACACTGGGGCTGGGGGGTTTGAACCCAGCCCAGGCCAGCTAAAAAAAACAATGACAACTGCAACAAAAAAATAGCTAGGCGTTGTGGCTGGCACCTATAGTCCCAACTTGGGAGGCTAAAGCCAAGGAATCACTTAAGCCCAAGAGTTTGGGATTGCTATGAGTTGTAACACCATAGCACTCTACCGGGGGCAACACAGTAAGACTCTGTCTCAAAAAAATAATAATAAAATAAGATAACAGGCTGAACCAGGAGTGGAGGCTCATGCCTAGAATCCTAGCACTCTGGGAGTCCAAAGAGGGAGGACTGCCTGAGTTCACAAGTATGAGAGCACCCTGACCAAGAGCACAACCCCATCTCTACTGGAGGCTAAAGTAGGAGGATCACTAGAGGCCAGGAACCAGATTGGACAACATAGCAAAAGCATAAGAAAAATGAGCTGGGCATGGTGGTGGATACCTGCAGTCCTACCTACTGCAGGGGTTGAGGCTGGAAGATTGCCTATAGTTTGAGGCGACAGAGAACTGTGGTTATGCCACTGCACTCCAAACTATATTGACAGGATGAGACTGTCTTGAATAATAAAATCATGATGTAAATCATAATTTATAAAATTCTTTTTTTTTTAAGACAGAGTATGATTACAGGTGTGAGCTACTGCACTCAGCAATTTATAAAATTCTTAATCTAAAATTTTTTTTAAAAATGTTTTAAGTCAGTAATGATTTAACACTTGGCATTGTCAAGGACATAGTGGGAATGCAAACTGGCACAGTTTTGGAGAGCTCTTTAAAGGTATCTGCCAAGGCTGGATACACACATGCCCAATGACCCTGTAATGTCACTCCTAAGTATATACCCAACAAATGTGTGTGTATTTACACAGAACTTTGAAGCCACATTATTTGTAAAGGCCCAAACTTGGGAATAACCCAATGGTCATTAACAATAAAATGGATTGGCTCGGCGCCTATAGCTCAACCGGCTAAGGTGCCAGCCATGTACACCTAAGGTGGCGGGTTTGAATCCCCAGCCCGGACCCGCCAAACAACAATGATGGCTGCAACCAAAAAATAGCCGGGCGTTGTGGCGGGCGCCTATAGTCCCAGCTACTTGGGAGGCGGAGGCAGGAGACTCGTTTGAGCCCAGGAGTTGGAGGTTGCTGTGAGCTGTAATGCCACGGCACTCTACCCAGGGGGACAGCTTGAGGCTCTGTCTCAAAAAAAAAAAACAATAAAATGGATTAAAAAGTTGTATTTTATTCATAAGACAATACTACACAGCAATAAAAATTAATGAACCCCAACTGTTGGCCAAAACATGAATGGATCTTACAAACACAGTACTGAGCAAAAGAAACACTGAAATACATACTGTATGATTCCACTTACATAAAGTTCAAGACAGGCAAAACTCATCTATGACATTAGAAGTCAGGATGGTGGTTATCTAGGGTAAATATTGGAAATGGAAGATATGACAGGGGTACTAGAAAAAAAATTTCTTTCCTGAGATAGAATCTTACCTGGTCACCCTTGGCAGAGTGCTGTGGCATCTTGGCTTATAGCAATCTCAAACTCTTGGGCTCAAGCAATCCTCTTGCCTAAGCCTCCCAAATAGCTGGGACTATAGGTGTCCAACACAATGCCCAGCTAATTTTTAGAGACAGGTCTCACTTAGGTTGGTCTAAAACTCCTGAGTTCAAGCAACCCACATCCTCAGCCTCCCAGAGTGCTAGGATTATAGGTGTGATCCAACACCCTTGGAAGAAAATGTATTTCTTGATCTGGGTGCTGGGTACACAGGGGTGCAGTCACTTTGTACACTTCGATTTCTGTACTTTTTTGAGACAGAGCCTGAAACTGTTGCCCTGGGTAGAGTGCTGTGCCATCACAGCTCACAGCAACCTCAATTCCTGGGCTTAAGCGATTCTCTTGCCTCAGCCTCCCAAGTAGCTGAGACTACAGGCGCCAGCCACAACGCCAGCTATTTTTTGGTCGTAGTTGTCATTGTTTGGCGGTCCTAGGCTGGATTTGAACCCGCCAGCTCTGGTGTATGTGGCTGGTGCCTTAGCTGCTTGAGCTATAGATGCCAAGCCTGATTTCTGTACTTTTCTATAAATTACCTTTTAAAAGAAGTTTTAAAAAGTCAGTCTTTCTGGCCTTGATAATGTCTGCACAAGATCACGCCTCTCACAAAGGGTCTCCTCTCCAGAGTAAACAAAAGGAAACACAAGAAGTTCCTCCCAGTACGGAGCTCAAGCTATGCTCTGGCTAAGATTCAGTGACTCTGTATTGACAGCCCTGCTGCCCTCAGGAAGCCCCCAGGAGGAAAAGCACGGCTTGCAGAAGGATGCTCCGCCAGGAGGAAGCAGCACTAAAAGCACAGGAATGGAAAACCATCCGGAATGGAAAAATCAACACATTAAAAAAAAAATAAAAAAAGCTTTAAAAAGTCAGTATATTCTAGCTACGAACAACTAAAATTAAGAAATTAAGGTTCTTTTGTGGGCGACGCCTGTGGCTCAAAGAAGTAGGGCGTTGGCCCCATATGCCAGAAGTGGCGGGTTCAAAACCAGCCCCGGCCAAAAACTGCAAAAAAAAAAAAAAGTTCTTTTGTTAGTTTTCATCTCAAAATAAAGGGTCCATTGTCAGTGCAACATGTAGTCATGGTCATTCTATAGGTTAAATGGAAAAAATATAATAGAAAAGTTCTTACTGAAAGTATTTTACAATCCTAGATACTTACTCCCTTAACCTGCTTCAGTCTGTTGTATTCATCAGCAGCCGCCTGTGAATGAAAAACACAAGGGAATAAGTTTACTGGAGCATTCATTCTCTCTTCTTCTTTTTTTTTTTTTTTGAGACAGAGCCTCAAGCTGTCCCCTTGGGAAGAGTGCTGTGGCATCACAGCTCACAGCAACCTCCAACTCCTGGGCTCAAGTGAGTCTCCTGCCTCCGCCTCCCAAGTAGCTGGGACCACAGGCACGGACCACAGGCGCCCACCACAATACCCGGCTAGTTTTCCTATTTTTAGGAGAAATAGGAATTTATTTGGGGATCTTGCTCAGGCTGGTCTCCAACTCCTGAGCTCAAGTGGATTCACCTGCCTCGGCCTCCCAGCGTGCTAGGATTAAAGGTGTGAGCCACGGCGTGGGGCCTAAAGACACAATTTGAGCGCTGCTCAAACCACAGTGCTCAGGTCATTTCATACTATAAAACTGGTCGAGCTCCCCCTTTAATTTCTCTACTTACTTAGTTTCCTGCCTTTCCAATTTCAGTGTTTACCTTTACCAATTCCTTTAAAAACTTAGGCATGTTACTGCTTCAAGATTTCATCACCTTTTCCTTATAGTTGCGGTCTTGCACCACGGCACCACCACCCCCGACCCTTCGGTCTGTGTGCATCTCAGCGATGCTTCTCGTAGGCCTTCAGCGACTATTCCTTCTCTGAGCAGTCTCGCTGCTTTCCACACATAATGTGAATACAGCATGAGTCCCATTGTCTGAGTTGTTTAGATGTGTCAACTTCTCTCAGAACATGCGCTCTTAGAGGGTGGTCAAAGGATTTGTCTTTATAACCCCAGTACTTACACATCAATAAAGAACAAGGGATCAGCAAATGTTACTGAATTAAGAAAGGTTTACAGTAACACCAGAAATAAACCATAGAAGAAAACAGGACATAAACCAAATACATAATGCAGCAAATACTCCAAAACTGAAAAGCAGCTAGGAGGGCATCAGCCCTGCTGGGCAGGTGGCTCTGGGTCTTTCTCCTAGGGATGTCTAAGAACTTGGAACTAGCCTGGGCAGGTCCAGGGTCAGGCAGGGTCCAGCCTTAGGGCCTTTGTACTGGCCACCCCTTCCCTCCTGGACCTCTGTCACCTCACACCCCTGCAGAGAGTCTCAGAGAAACCTGCAAACTACAGACCTGAGCTATAGTCTGGAGGCTCAGTGCGCAGGGTGCCCCTGGGGAAAACATGGGCTGCTTTGGTCCCCGCTTACTTCCCAAACACACACATGGACACTGACAAAAGACTCAACCTTGGTCTTATCAGGGATCCTTCTGACTACCCAGGAGGGCAGCAGAGATGTGTGAGCAGGACTGGGGATGAGGGTGGGGAGTGGCAGGAGGGGGATGACAAGGGACTGCATTCAGGGTGATGTTGGCCTTGGGAGCACCAGAGTTGCTCAGGGTGTGGCAGGTGAGAGGAAGGAGGCCTAGGGTGTGAAACTGCAGTTCAGGCCTGGTGCTGCCAGGGAAGAAGTATAGGTGGGAGGACTAACTGATCGCATGGATGGAATTCCCTGAAGTCCTTGTGCTGGCACCTCAGTTTCCTGAAATCCAACCTGGAGCCAACCACAGAGACATATGGGCCATGAATTGAAACCCTCTACCTCATCCCACAGCCTAGCCCAGGCCACGACCTTGCACAGGCCTCAGGAGACTTTTCACATGCTCTGTGCTGTACTGGGAGCACCTTTACCAGCCTGACCCTCGAAGACTCAGCCTAACCAGCTCCTCTAACCCCCACCCTTGATGTTACCCTACCCACAACCCTCCTGGCTGACTATAAGGGGCAGCTTGCGGAAGTGCAACTGCTTCATGCCCTTCTCAATCAGTACAGTTTCATATTTCTGAACATCAATTTAACCAACTAAAGTTTAATCACAAATCAGTTAAATGTATTTAAAAATCTTTCATATCACCTCAACCGAAAAATGGCAGAATATTTAGTAAAATTAATATGAAGTTCCACTAAACATATAAAGCCATGAAAAAGTTGAATTTCTAAGACAAAAGGCAGTAATTTTTCAGGTGTGAATGGATGTGGGTCAAAAGAGCCCATTAGGGCATTACTGGGGGAATGCAGCTGGTGTGATCCTTCTGGAAGGCAATGCTGCAACAAGAGATTAAATGCACATACACTATGACTCAATAATTTCACATTCTGGAATTTCTTCCAGCTAAATAAATGGACAAGAGTGCCAAAAATTGGAGAGGCTCCTCAGTGTATTACTGGAACTACTGGGGTGGAGAAGTGGAGTGGGATGGGAGGAGACATACTTAAAAATCCAGAGGACGCCTCTTTTTTTTTTTTTTTAAGTTAGGAAGACTCTTAAGTAAATTATGATACAACCATAAAACTGAAAATTGTTTTACATATAAAAGGTATAAGGTAGATCATTATTACTGATATGAAATAATAACCATAAATTATTGTTGAGTAAAAGACTCAGAAATAAGCAATGTCAAGCTTAGCCCCATAGCTCAGTGTTAGGGCACCGGCCACAAACCCGGGCTGGCAGGTTTGAACTGGCCTGGGCGTGCCAAACAACGACTATAACAAAAAATTAGCTGGGCATTGCGCCTGTAGTCCCAGCTACTTGGGAGGTTAGGGCAAGAGAATCGCTTAAGCCCAAGACTTTGAGGTTGCTGTGATGCCACGGCACTCTACTAAGGGCAACAGAATGAGACTCTGTCTCTCTAAAAAAAAAAAAAAAAAAAAAAAAAATCCTAACTAAATAAGCAATTCCAGAGAGTATTTTAAAAAAGAAAAAGAAAACTCCCATTCTGATAAAGGAATGTCAAAGGGACACAGAAAGCAATTGAAAGAGTTCCTAGTCAAAGCTAGAACAATTGTAACTGTCAACTGGATTATAACTATAGTACAAAATAGATATCCATGAGTCTACGCTTATATAAATGATTGACTGATAAGAGTAACTTTACATGGATGAACACTGCTTCAGCCAGGTGATAAAAGGGAAAAAAAGATACTCAAACTGCTATTTATTTTTTGGAGACAGAGTCTCACTATGTTGCCCTTAGTAGAGTGCTGTAACATCACAGCTCATAGCAACCTCCAACTCTTGGGCTTAAGCAATTCTCTTGCTTCAGCCTCCCAAGTAGCAGAGACTATAGGCACCTAACACATCACCTGGCTATTTTTTTGTTGTTGTTGTTGCTGTAGTTGTCATTGTTGTTTAGCAGCCCCAGGCTGAGCTATATGCGCTGAGCCTGTGTTGAGTTTTTTAGCAGAAATGATGAATTGAAATAAAAAGAGAATAGCCATATTACTTTTTAATAGGAAGAGACAGACACAGAATATTGCTTTGTAAGTCTTAACAGCACACTTTTCAATTTGGAAAGACTTTCATCCAAAAGCCAATTTCGTCTGGGCACAGGTGATCTGAGCACTTTGGGAGGCTAAACTGAGAGGGTCACTGGACGTCAGAAGTTTGAGACTGGCCTAGAGAACATAGTGAGACCCCCATCTTTACAGGTGTAGTGGCATATGCTTGCAGAGGTAGCCATTGTGGAGGATGAGGCAGGAGGATTGCATCAGCCATGGAGCTGGAGGTTACAATGAGCTATGATAACTTCACTGCACGCCCACCCAGCTAGCTAGCTCCCATCTCAGCTAGCTGAGACTCACAAAAACCAATTTTAACTATTCTTCAATGAAACCTGTTTGATAATTACAAGCTTAATTTTTTTCAATATTAGGCAGCATAAAGGATGCTGTAGCTGTATTCATCAGCATTGAATTCTATATGACAACCAAATAACAGGGGTAAATTACCATGTACTCTTCACTTTCTTCTCTATAGTTATCCAATTCTTTATCCAGACGAGAGAGCTCTTTATTGATCTCATCAAGTTCTGCTTGTAAGCGCTTGTATTCCTGCAGGCCAGTGTCAAAATCTCTCTTGTAGAGTTGTCTTTCTTGATCTGAGATGATAGGTGGATATTCCCTAAAAATGAGAAGGAAGATGACTACATAAAATCCACTATTTCTTCCTCAAAGATAATACAGCTGCTGGGGTGTAGAGAATGACACTGACTGGATTTCTTTTTGTATCTTATGAACAGAAGGAAGTGGGACACAAGCTCTATTAAGATGATGATATACTATTGTACATTAAAAAAACTAGGCCTATGTAATTTTTAGAAAGAAAGTTGAACATCATTTATGAAACTTAAGGTTCAAGTCACAGGAACTCACTTATTCTCAACACACCATACCACATGATAATGAACTACTCATGTTTAAAGTCTTCAAACTGGAATTCTGGAACACAAAGCCTGTTTGATCACCGCAGTGGCAGAGCACTGACTGGAAGTGGCTGTTTCCTGCTAACACCCACACTTTACAAACTGACTTATTTATTTTTTGGTCTTGTTTTTCCTAAATGGAAATAGCTTATTTTGTTCTTTCATTATAAAAGTAGACATTTAAAATGTCCATGTATACAAACATGAGCTCATTGTAAAAATAACCTGGCAAGTCATCAAAGCATAAAAAAGAAAAACTGAAATTCTGTACTGCTTATATCTCTCAAATGGCTCTTTTTTTTTTTTTTTT